CTTACACATTTTTAGTACACAAATAGCCTTAAATTTTTTGGTATATCACAAGGAAATACTCAAAGCTTACTAAAATTGTGTAATTTTGCTGAAGTATCTATGTGTGTGGGATGGGGTGGGGGTAGTAGGCTTTAAGCTGTGAAGTATATATGGGAAAATAATTTCTCTCTCCATTTATTTCCATTCTATTTCTATGCAAACCTTTAGCAACTACCTTCAAAGACTAGTTGGAGACAAAGAAAATCATTTAATTTCATTAACTGCTACTATTCTGATATTATCTCAAATGGCAGACAACATAAAACACACACACACAGAGAATTTCAATTGCCAGAAAACATTTTTACGAGTTTGAATATATTAATAGACTAGAAAGTCATACATTTTCCATAATGCAGCAATTTAACTTATCATTAAAAAAAAATATTCAGAATGTAGCCATAATAATTGGCCAGGTTGGGGAAGGTGCACAGGGGTGCATGAGTGGCCAGCACGATGCAAGCACAGAGGGTCTGGGGAGGGTGCGCAAGTGGGGGAGACTTATTCCAATGACTTGCAACCTCCCTGCCGGCTTCCCCATTGACTTTCTGGGAAGACAGCAGGGAAGGTTGCAAAGGCGATAACGTGATAGCAGGGCGGTGCAACTGGTCATAACTGCAAGCTGGGTTGCCAAGCACCCAGACTGTGATCATGTGACCACAGGTGGAACTCCAATGACCAGTCGTAAGCACCATCTGTTCAGTGCTGTGTAATTTTGAACAAATGGTTGTAGGTAGGGGACTACCTGTATACTCTTTCCAAATTTGTATTGACATATGTAAGGATTTGAAACCAAAACAAGGCTATAGCTGGAAATAACCAAACCACGAGTTCATTTTCTAATTTCTTACTAGGCCAACACAAAAAAATCTATTATCCATCCCTTTTTAAACATTTTAGGGGTTCCAACAAACACAAAATAATTTTTTCTGATGAATTAATTCAGTTTTAAATCATAAGCATATTCTACATTTTTTGACATCTGGACCCATTGATTCCCCAAAACTGGATATTCCAATTCTTCATTCTACAATTCACACAGGTAACTAATATTTTTATGTTACTTTTTGATTCCTTATAAATTTGAATTGTCAGTTTTCATTCAGGCACTGCGTCCTTTAAGGATCCTAAAACTGCAGGTACCTCAGAGGCAAGCCATTCTGTTTAGTTACTACATGTTCTAGTTGTTGACACTGTCAAGCAAATGCTGTGGGTAAATCTTCAACACACAATCTCTCAAAGCCTTTAAAACAATCACTAGAAATCAGTTGATTTAAAGTGTTGATTTAGACAAAGTGTTCTAACAAAATGTCTTCCCTATCATTTTCAAAATTGAGTTACAGATATTCTGCAACATGTGATTTGGGATCAAAATCCCAAATTCACCTATTAATAGCCAAATATGCCTGGAAACTAAAATCCCTACTTAGTATACCTGGACCCTAAAATATGCCAAGATTTCAGTGGTGTTATACACTTGCTTTCCAAACACATCTAAAGGGAGGAATATTCATAAAATGTCTCATTCCAAAATAATATTTTAATTAATTAATTAATATTTATTTATGTTAATTAATGTTTATTCTATTTTTACTGTAAACCGCC